CGTAGCGGACGCACCTGCTGAACCGCAACCGCGCTCTTCCCTTCCGGTTTTCCCTGGCCTGCCCTCCCTCTCCTTTCCACTACAGTAGTAACCCATTCCAAGAAACACCTTGCTTGCCTCCAGGGGGCCCTGGGTTTCTTGGGTTTCGATGATTCTGCTATGGAAAGAAAGCGTGGCGCTCCCACACCAAGAGTCCATGGACGTCCTGGGGTCTCAGGGTTGGGTTTCTTGTGGAGGAGGAATGTTCCAAAATAGTTTTAAAATAGTCTGGGGATTATTTTTTGAGCAATTTCTGATCACGTGGGGGTATCTTTCACTATTTAGGGGCATTTGTTTGCCATGTGTTTGTCTTTGGGCACTTTTTGACTATCCTTTGTCTCTCGTCCAAAATCCCTGTGTAGGGGGACACGCCCGACTTAACTCCATATCCGCTGCCCCTTCCCCCCCCCGGCCGGCGCCGAGCCGAGGCCGGAACATCGAGCGCGCCCGCGCCGCGGCGCCGGAGGCGCCCTGCCGGCCCGACGCGGAGCGCATCCGGCGCGGTGGCGCGACGCTGCTGGTGCCGGCGCAGGCGCGGCGGCTCAGAGCCCCGAATCATCAGGGGTAACTCGGGTCAGGGCTAACTCGGGTTCGTTTTTCGGAAATCCAAACCCGAGTTACCCTGGACCCGAGTTACCACGGATAATTCGGGCGTCCAGAGCCCCAAAATCATCAGGGGTGACTCGGGTCAGGGCTAACTCGGGTTCGTTTTTCGGGAATCCAAGCCCGAGTTACCCCGGACCCGAGTTACCCCGGATAACTCGGGCGCCCAAGCGGCAGCGGCCGCCGGTCGCGCGCGAGGCGACGACGCCGACAGCGACGACGGCCCCATGAGATCCTGGCGACTCGATCTTGTCGAGCCGGGCGTTGTTGCCGCCCTGCGTCGGGCCCCGGGGCCCTCGCAGATGGATGCGGCTCGAGAGATGCCGCAGAAAGACGGGGTCCTCCTCCTCCTCCTCCTCCTCCTCCTCCGGGGCTCCGGGCGCGGATTTTCACGGTGTTGCAAGCTTTTCGCTACGTCGGCTCCAGGGACAACGACGACGACGACGACGACGACGACGACGACGACGACGACGACGATGATGCCGACGGCGACCGCGACGACGACGATGACGACGTGGACGACGTCGACGGCGTCGAGGCCACCTGGTGCCGGCGCACGCGCGGCTGCCGCCGCCGCCGATCGCCGCGAGACCATCGTCGTCTTCCGCTGAGATCCGAGCGTTGCATTTTTGTTCATACCTGGCTTTTTCGCTCAGTTTCGGGCCCCGGAACCATCACGGATCGATCCGGCTCGAGAAATGCCGCAGCACGATGGGGGTCTAGGGCTTTGGTCGTGATTTGTCGCGGTGCCGCACTTTTGTTGCAGCGTCGGGTCTCAGGGATCGTCGTCTTCCTCGTCGTCTCCGTCTTGGTCTTTCAGCAGGGAAAAAACACACAGACACTATTAATCGTCGACTCCCAAAAAAATCAGAGTGAGGGGGCCGAACGGTCATTCATTGTCCCTGGGTGCGTGGCTGAATAGGGAATTCATGGTGAGACTCCTGCTTGATGCGTTGTTGAACTCTGTGGCATGCCCTTCGTGGCCCCGCTGTCGCCCTTCGTGGCCCCCTCGCTGCCCTTCGTGTCCCCGTTGCTGCCCTCAGTGGGCCCGTCCTTACCCTCCACGGCCCAACATACGTATGCCCTTCGTGGCCCCCGCTCGTTCGCGCCCGTTGTGGCCCCATGTGCATGCCCTTCGTGGCCCCGCTGTCGCCGTTTGTGGCCCCCTCTCTCTCGCTCTCGCTTTCGCTCGTCGTCGTCGTCGCCGTCGCCGTCGTTGCCGTCTTGGGCGACGTCGTCGTCGTCGTCGTCGTCGTCGTCGTGGACGGTCCCCTGTCCGTCCCTCTTGGGGTCGGGTCGACGGTCCGCGGCCGCCCCGCCGATCAGCGCTGCCGCTGGCCAGGCCGACGGTCCGCGGCCGCCCCGCCGCTTGCCCGGGCCCGGCCTGCAGGGAAGAAAGGTATACCCCCCAAAAGGGGTTCTATCGAAGACGAAAAGTGCGGGTATCGAGGGTTTGGGAAATTCGCGTTATTCGACACTCGAGCAGATAAGGGCGAACAGTCTTAAAATGATTGTTGTTGTTGTTGTTGTTGCTGCTGCTGCTGCTGCTGCTGCTGTTGTTGTTGCTGTTGCTGTTGTTGTTGTTGTTGTTGTTGTTGTTTGATCTCGTCGTCCCACCCGCGACTCACCCGCGGCCCACCCCGCGACCCACACCGCAACCCACCCCGCGACCCACCCGCGACCCAACCCGCGACCCATCCGCGACCCACCCCGCGACCCACCCGCGACCCACCCGCGACCCACCCGCGATCCAACCGCGATCCCAACCGCGACCCATCCGCGACCCACCCCGCGACCCATCCGCGACATACCCGCGACCCACCCCGCGACCCACACGCGACTCACGCTGCGACCCACCCTCAAGAGAGGAAAAACCACCTGGACCAGACAATTGAAGTTTACTGAACGGCCCTGGGCGCTTACTAAACAGCCCTGCCCTGTTCGATTCATTCCTTGTGCGCGTGTACTAAACGGTTTCGGCTGTCGGGGTGATTCTTATGGGGGTGATGTTCTGCCCTCTACACTCGCGACCCACCCGCGATCCTCCCCGCGAACCAACAGCGACCCATTTGCGACCCACCCGCGACCTACCCACATTGTTTGAACAAAAGAATCGGCGCCTGCGGCGGGCTCGTTGTATGAATTGTGAAACTTTGGCGCCTGCGGCGGGCTTCTCCAGAGTCTCGCAAACTGCCGACGTTCCCACCGCCCCCTCACCCTTATCCGCATCTGCGGGGTGCTACGTATACGAACCTATGGGAAGTGTGGGAGAAGACAGACACCCAGAAAACATGTGAAAATGTGGGGAATCCGGGAATCCTGGGATTTGTGTGCGTTCATTTGTGTGTGTCTGTGGGCCCCTTCAGTCTTCGCCGCCTGGGCCACCAACGGGGGCGCGGAAATGGTTGCGCTCCGCGCGCAGCGGTCTGGGCCGGGGCGGCTGCCTTTGCCCAGGGGGTGGGCTCGAGCGCGCGAGGATCATCGCGCATTTCCGGGCGCGGTGCGCGCGAGGTTGTATAGCTGGAGGTTGATAGACCTCCCACCCTGGGACTTTCAGCTCGCTGAGGGGCAGCGAACGCGATCTGCGTTTCTGGGGCGACGGAAGGGGAGATAATGCTCGTAGCGTAAGAGCAAACCTAAACAGCCCAATCGTTGGTAAGAGCAAGCCTAAGGTCCGAACATGTCGCGAATGGGTGTCGTAAGGATTGTTATTGACGGATCAAGCGCGCCGGCTGAGCGTATTGATTTGGCCCTGGAAGCAACGCTGCCCCCCAAGCGACCTCCAACCTGGGACGTCGATTAGTGAATTGGCCGTTTTCGGTTCGCGAGGGCGCGTCGCGGCCGTCGCTTTTGCGGGTCCAGGTCCGTCGGTTTCGGCCCTGGGCCGTTTTCATTGAAGGGTGTTTTTTCAAAGGGAGGTTTGTCCACCGCCGAACCTGGGTCGTCGTTGTTGACGTCGCCTTTGTCGTCTCTGCCGTCGCCGTCTTCGTATTCGTCGTTGTTGACGCCGTCTTCGTCGAATTTTTCCGTCGGCGTCGCGAGCTCGCCGACGTCGTGTGCCTCGGCGCCTGGTTTTCACCCCTCGTCCCTCGTCCCTCCCCCCCTCCTAGGACTCGACTCTTGTGATGTTAAGTTCAGCACCGGCGCTTGTATATCTGCGGTCGAAACGGGCCCAGTCCAGCGTAATCCCATGCAATTCCGCTCAATCGAAGTTCGCGAGCTGCCCCCGAGCGCCCGAAGTGCCCCAGCGCTCTCCGACGGCTCCAGAGAGCCCCTCAGGTTGCCCCGAGACGGCCTCTGACAGCCCCACGTCAGCTCTGAGATGCTCCGGAGCGCGCGTGGACGGCCCAAGAGAACCCGAACGGCGCCCCATGACAGCCCAGGACGGCCCGACGACGGCCAGGTGCCTTCGAAAACGGCCGCACCGGACCCCAATGATGATGCCCCGAGGCCAGAATCACAGGTTTCCTTTGGATTTTCGAAAGTCGTCCATGTTCTCGCCATTTCGGGCCAATGGCCCTGACAGCTCCAGGGCCATCCCAGATCGCCCCAAGACGGTCCAGGAAGCCCCGCCAAGTGCCCCAAAATGGCCCCAGAGGGCCCGAAGACTTCCCAAGAGAAGCCAAGACAGCCTCGCAGAGCCCCCAGTGGCCCCCAAGACAGCCCCAAGAGGGACCCAGGGGCTCCCAGACGGCCCGGCACCCCGAACAACCCAGAATATGGCTCCAGGACGGCCCAAAAGGCATCCAAGACGGCCCAAGAGGGCCGCAAAATGGCCGCAGAGGGCCCCCAGAGGCTCCGGAGGGACCCCCAGGAGGGCTCGAAGAGGGGCAGACGGGAGCCTGGGCGACATGCTCCCCACAGCGAAGAAGCCCCCAAGAGGTCCCAAGAGGGCCGCAAACTTGCCGAAGAGGACCCCCAGAGGCTCCCCCAGAGGCCCCCAAGACGGCCCGAGAGGGCCGCAAAATGGCCGAAGAGGACCCCCAGACACTCGGGAAAGACCCCCAGGAGGCCTCGAAGTGGGTCCGAAGAGAGTCCAGATGACGGGCTTCATGCAGCCCCCGTTGGGCTACGAACCTGCCAAGGACGACTCCGAGGTGCCCCAGAGTCTCCCAAGAGGCTCCGATACTCGCCAAGAAGCTCCAAGGAGAGCGCATCCAGCCACGGCACCCTTTCGCCGAATCCCCAAAGAAAGTCGCCGTTTGTAGCTTCCGTGGCCATGCTGGCTCAAGCCTTTGGGCTGAAGCCGTTGCAGCGCAAGGCCGCTGCGCGTCGAGAGCACATCCGAGGGAGCATCCCTTGCTCTGCATCCTGTCACTGCCCAAAGGCGCCTCCTGTCCGCAGCAAGACGCGCGACCATGCCGGAGCTCGTGGCGATCGTCAGAGCCCCCAGGGAGGCACTCCGGGGCATGGTTGACGAAGGCGTGGCGATCGGCGGCGGCTCGTCCATCAAGATCTTCCACCAGTCCTTCTACGCGGGTTGCTGTATTGGTTTCGGTGGGCATGCTGTCGATGGTGGTGGCCGGCGGTCTGGACAAGGCGGCCGAGGACAACCCGACCCGTCAGGCGCTCTTCCCTGTGAACCTGCTGCTCATCTTGCTCACAGGTGGGGTGCTGATCACAGGTGCAGCTGCGACCGTGCCTGCGGCGGTGTGTGAAGGCAAGCTGCACTGGAAGCAGGTCCCCAGGACGTTTGCGCTGGCTTGGACTGGCAATCTGCTTGGCGCCGTCCTCTCCGCCTTCTTTGTCGAGGCCTGTAACCTGAACGTGGGCTTGACTGCCAAGCTTGCGATGAAGGTGGCGGAAAAGAAAATCAAGGAGAATTTCGTCGTCACCTTCCTGAAGGGAATCGGCTGCAACTGGCTGGTGTGCATGGCTGTGTTCCTGCAGGGCCAAGCGCAGGACATGACCGGCAAGATGGTGGGCATCTGGTTCCCCATCTCCTGTTTCGTGGCCATCGGCTTTGAGCATATCCCTGCCAACATGTTCATGATTCCACTGGGGATGATAGCCGGCGCCGACGTGTCCGTGTGGGACTGCCTCTGGAGGAACTTCATCCCAGTGACCCTCCGGAACATCTTTGCAGGCTCAATCTTCGTGGGCGTTGGATACTCCTTCGCCCTCGGCAAGCTGGGCAGCTCGCCGATGTTCAACATGCCCGCGAGGGAGCTGGGTGCCCCGAAGGAGTAGCCGGCTGGCGGCGACAACAACGAGGTTCCGCCTGAGGCACAGGGCCTATGATAGCGCAGCCTCGCAGAGGGGCCTCAGCGTCATACTATGGCGCTCTGGCCATTTTATATCGTGTGCAGCATTTTCGTTTGGGCGAGCCAGATCATCACAAGCAGGTGTTCAGAAATGGGCTTTCGGCAGCTGTCGAAATTTCGGAGTTTATATACTCTGACCGACAGCATCTGCTTCGAATGCAGAAACCGGGTTCTCCACCCAGTGTGAAATACAGTGTTGTAGCGGCCCCAATCGTTATGCATACATTCGCATGTCTTCTCCAGTAGATGTCCGAGTGCCATCAGGTGCGAGTCGATCGAAGCTGTGTTCCCGTGGCAGTCGCCACAGGCGTCGCCAGAGAGTTAGCGTTCTCGCGTGGATTGCTTGTACTGATGCGCCTGCGTGGAGCACCAAGCGCCGCTGCATACAAAGTATACAGCCGTAGTATTACGCCATAGTCTGCTATGGACAGTATTACGCCATAGTATGCTATGCGGCGCTCGCAGCCCTGAATTTGCATCCTGTCCCCTGATTCGCACAGCGGTCGAGGCCAAGTCAGGTGACAAAAGTACCAAAGTCGCCTTTTGTGGCTCCCTGGTAGCCCTGAACAAAGCACCTGGCCCAAACACGGCCCCACACAGCTCCTCCTCTCCCCATTTTCTTCTCTTCTCTTATCTGTTATGATCTTCTCTTCTCTCCTCTTCTCTCCTCTTCTGTTCTCTTCTCCTCTCATCTCTTCTCTCCTCTTCCTCTTCCTCTTCCTCCTCTTCCTCCTGGTCCGAAGCCATTTGGGCCTCCTTCCAGGTTTTCGAGGCCCCCCCCCTGGCCGCCCCCCCCCCCCGCCGCGACTCCGAGGAGAGCCCGCCGTGCCGCGCCAGCGGCGCCTTCCTTGGCAAGCCATGGCCGTCCAGAAGCGCAAGGCCGTGGCCAAGAGCGCCCAGGACGCCTTCGCCGCGGGGCCCAGGAAGGGCGCCAAGAGGGCCCTCGAGGAGGCCGCCGCCGCGCCCGAGGGGGAGCCCGAGGAGCAGCGGGCCGCCGAGGCCGAGGAGGAGCCGGAGGTGCAGGAGGAGGTCCGCGAGGAAGACCGCCTGGCCCAGCAGGAGGAGGAGGTCGCGGGTGCGCGGAGGAAGGAGCTGAAGGCCATGGCGGCCTCCGACCTCAAGGACCTCGCGGTCGGCAAGGGCCTCGAGGCGGGGAGCAAGGGCGAGAACGTGGACGCCGTCCTGGCGGTAGAGGCGCGGGAGCGCGCGGAGCAGCGGGCGAAGGAGGCGCGGCTGCGCCTGGTGGTCGTGAGGAAGAAGGAGGAGCTCGAGGCCCTCCCCTTCGGCGAGCTCGTGGAGCGCTGCAAGGCGATCGGCCTCGCCGGCAAGCTGACCAAGGACAGGAGGGGGGGGGGTGCATCTCAGGGTGGCCTGTGCTTATGTAGCCAAAGGGGCCAATAATCACGAATCGACTGCCTGGCCATTGGCAGTTCAAGGAGGTGGGCCCGTACGGCGAGTGGCGCCCAGGAATCAAGAAACGCTATCTGCGGGCTGAGGTCCTGGGGGTGGGTGGGTCCCTGCAGCGAGCGGCGGCACACTGGAATCAAGGGGCGCCGTCGCCGTGCCAAGGGCCATGAGGGCGGGTGGGTCCCTGCGGCGAGCTTGGCTCAGGAACCAACAGGCGCCATATTCATACTCGGGCTGGGGCGCCAGGTGCGGGTGGTTCGCCAGTCCGGCGGGGGGAGTTTGACGCGGGCCTGCCTGCGGCAAGCGCAGAGCCAGGAAGAACAGATCTGACAGCGCGTAACGAATTTGGGGTGCGTCTGCAGGAAGGACGGGGCCAGGAATTCAGGACAACTATTTTTGGGACAACGTTTCTCCAGGAACCAGCCCCCCCCTGTGACACTGTGCAGAACACCATGATTGAATTAGGGTCTCCACAGGCGAAGACCAATAACAATAATACAAGTAGTAATACTATGGATCATAATGATACTACTACTACTACTACTACTACTACTACTACTACTACTACTACTACTACTACTACTACTACTACTACTACTACTACTACTAAACTACTACTACTACTACTACTACTACTACTACTACTACTACTACTACTACTACTACTACTACTACTACTACTACTACTACTACTACTACTACTACTACTACTACTACTACTACTACTACTACTACTACTACTACTACTACTACTACTACTACTACTACTACTACTACTACTACTACTACTACTGCTACTACTACTACTACTACTACGACTACTACTACTACTACTACTACTACTACTACTACTACTACTACTACTACTACTACTACTACTACTACTACTACTACTACTACTACTACTACTACTACCTACTACTACTACTACTACTACTACTACTACTACTACTACTACTACTACTACTACTACTACTACTACTACTACTACTACTACTAAGAGTGGTTACAACAATATAAGCAGTACAGATAATACTATAATCTTATACAGAGCCCCCCCCCTCCGAGGAGAACCGCGTGCAGCAGCTGATGGCCAAGTGGCAGCAGGACGACGGTATCAGCAAGGGCCTCGCCGCCATGGCCGTG